GTAAAAGAAATACTCCTGACTTTTACAAATCCTCAACAAAGAAGTATAGGCATTATATTATCCACATTGTATCTTTAAAGTTTAGAACTGTAGATTTGGAGAATGGAGATGAAACTGAGGTAAAGTGCAAACGAGTAATTGCCAAAGACTTGTGTTCTTATTCTTTTATAATAGTGCGCCTGCTTTTTTTTTTTTAAAGGCATATTTCCAGCCTAATTTTGTTTTTACATATTCTGGGATTTTTGTTTGCTTCCCTACTAGAATGTCATTTCCAGTGTGGTGCTAGGCACATACACAAAGCTTTCAATAAAATGTGTTGGTCTGGTTCAAATTGGTATCAGATCTACACATACATGTAACTCAAAATTTCTTGGTATTTGTTAATTTCTTACTGTAAGACACTGAATTAAGTTCGATTAGGAATGCAAAAGGAAGAGAAGGTGGGAGGAATGGAAACTAGATACTCTTTCAAAACAGTTTGGTTCTAGAGCACCCATGATGGGTAAATCCATGTATATGTTTCACCTCAGACAGCCACACAAAATTTCCTTTTTTGGTGTTGTATTATTGGAGATCTAAGTAATTTATTAATCAAGAATCTGAATAATTTTCCATGGCTCTGACTTATGATGAGAAGATACAAAGTTTTCATTAGGTACTGATCTGACTTAGAATCTCTTCTTAAAGCTGTGATTATCATTTTTTAATTAAGGAGGACAGACTTCAAAGTCCAGAACCTTATGATAAGCATCAGAGCCTCATCAGTCATTAAGAAAAGAAGGAACTTATAAAAACACACAAAAAAACATACAAAAGTGTGACTCCTAAAATTTTTCAGTGCCCAATCAGGTAGTCACTTTCAAGGAGATTGCACTTTAATATAAAAAAAAGTAGACATACAAAGTAAAAATCAACAGGCAGTGTACACCTAGGAGTAAAGTGAGAAGCTGTTAAATAGGCTGCAGGTAAGAGATGCGCCTAGAGTGGGCTGGTCAAAGAAGAACCCATAGGTGAGGCAAGACTTAAACTAAACTCTACAAAGCAAATAGGCTATATATAGACTTTGAGGGGAGAGAGAGACAGTCAGCTGAAATAGGCATGTAATAACAACAATAATACTTACTGTGTCTGTCGTATATTCAGTCAGTCTGATGATGTTCTGGGCATGGTACTAAGTGCTTTATGTGCATTATTCATTAAATCCTTATAAGAAGCCTCTAAGGTAGAAGACGGAAGTTATAAAAATGACAAATTTGAATCTTAGAGATTACAAATGACTCTCCAAGGGTCATAGAAGTGAACTGTGATAGACTAGAGTCTATCTGCTTCCATGCACTTCCATGCACTAAGTTGTTCTGTTCAAGTGGAGAGCATATTGTAAGAACTAATAGAATATAAGCCAGTACTATGCTTTGGAGCATAGAATATAAGTTTAAAGAGTTTCATTTGTGCATGTGTATAAAGATTCTAGCCTTTTTCCTACACAAGTAGGGACATTCTGGAAGTTTTCAGTAGGAAAGTCTTATTATGACTTATAAATATTATTTTGAGAGTACGGTGCAATCATTTGGACAAACTGAAGGTGGAAGCTCATTTAAGAATGCAATGAAGGGTCTTTCTGGTGGTGCAGCAGGTTGAATGCAGTGCCAGTTCAATTCACGGCCAGCCAGGGAGCTACCCGCATGGTGAGGCAGACCTCTCCTATCTCGCCCACTGCTCCCCTCAGCAGTGTATTTCAGTCCTTCTGCCTGTTCTGCTCCCTGCTCTGTCTCTGGTAAATTATTTCACCCTCCCGCGCCTCTGGCCTATACCCCAGTGCTTGTATAAATAAATAAATCTTAAAAAAAAAAAAAGACTCCAATGAAAATGGACAACAAAAATATGTGAAAGAAAAGAAAATGGGCATGGTTGCTTTGGACTAAAGTCTCCTTAATTCTTAACTTTTTCTTTTGGAAAAATATCAGAAATCAAAGTTGCAGAGATTATTAAAATTCTAAATTTAGAAATCTATAGTTGTAAATATAGATCCATTTTGGAGGACTAGGTAGAAAAAAGACTGGGGCTTAATGTAAACCCCAGTGCCATAAAGAAATTGTTAGCAAAATCCCCCCAAAAGTCCAGAAAAGACAAAGTAGAGTCAGAGAGGGAAGTACATTAAACAGAGATTTTACACTGGCTAACAGAGCACAGCAGAACAAAACTCCACCTATAGAATGTTAATGCATCAGAAAACAGGAAGAAATAGGAGTATAGTCACTAGGCCAGGTAAGAGAAAGGCTTCTTCCCAAAGAAAACACTGAAGTGTGAGAAAGAAACAACTTCCAAAATTGGTCAAGAAGAAACCCAAGACTATTTCTAAGCCCTGCTTTAGAGGACCTTGATAGACATTTGCTGCTCACTATTCTAAGAAAGGAACTGGGAAGTTTACACAGGGCTGGAGACTGATTTCAACATTTCCTGGTAAGAAGCCAGGAATGACCAGACAGAATATATCTGATCACATCCTTCTTATCTCTAAGCTTGAACAGCATTAACAAATTAGACCCAAGTTTCATAATGATCTAGCTCTCATCTTAAAAGTCATTCCTTCCATGCTAGCCTGAAGTCTAGATAAAAGAAAACCTTGGACTCCTTGGGCAATCCTGTCATTCTGCTTGGTGAGATCAGATTTCTCATTAGTTTTTTATGGGGTTTCAATAAAATGGGGTATAGGTGGTTTATTTATGTTTTTTTAAGAAAATAAATAAATATGCATTCCCAGGTTGAGAAATGGCTCCACTTACTGAGAAATCCATTCTATTAGTTTCCAGCCACAGTCCTATTTCTCCTGCACTGAAATCTAATGTTGTAAGATAAAATATTGTCTATTAAATTTGATAGGTTTAAGTAAAACTACATGACATACGTCCATCACAGGAAATGAAAATCATTCTTCAAAGCAGAATCAATTTGCAATTGTGACAGATGATGTTTTTCAAATTTAGCTGCAGTTGAACAATGGCTCTTTGATGTCTGAAATAATTGACTTAAGGAGCAGAGTCTCTATTTTAAACTGTGTTCTACTTTTAGTTTGGTTGTTCATAATAGGAACACTCTGCGGGGTCCCTGAGTCTTGTAGTGTTTATTTTGCAAATATGGCATCATAAATAAAAATCTGCTTTTTATTAAAAATATTCTGATTTCATAATGGAAACTCTTTGTCATTTTAATAGTAGAAAAAATCTGTTCTTCCTTTGAGCAACTAATATATATTGATGCATAATTTATCAATATGTTGTATCATATTTCTTAGTTGACAAGTAACTCTATTGCTAGAAAACAAAGATTGCTTTTAGTTTTTATTATTTATAAAACAATGTCCTGAAGACTAAAGAATCAAGCTAAACACTCAATTTCTTCTGAAATTCCTGGGGAATGTTCAAGCTGAGATCATTATAAACTTGAAAGGAAAAGTGACAGAAAAGAATAATAGGCTGTGCCCCAGAACCTGAAGCATAGTTCTCTACTGAGGCATGGATACCCCAAACCCCACCTCATGAAATCTCCTAAGCTGTTGTAGTTGTTCTATAATAATAGCTTTATTTTCAACCTCCGGTTATTAGGGGTTCATGACAAAGTTTCCAGTGGTTCTCCGAAATATTAGAAAATAAAAGAGCGTATTGATTTTTCTCTAAATATAAGCTTATTTCATTAAAAGGCTGTCCTCTGTGAGATTATCCTTCCCTTAAGCCCTTTTTTTATTTTTTTAAAGATTTACTTATTTATGCATACAAGAACTGGGGTGTAAGCCAGAAGTGCGGGGGGTGGGGTGAGAGGATTCACCAGAGAGAGTGGGGAACGGAATAGTCAGATCTACTGAAACACCCTGCTGAGTGAAGGGAGCAGCAGGTGATGCAGCAGAGGTCTGCTGAGCCATGTGGGTTGCTCCTTGGCATGCTGATAGCTTGACAGCACTGTCGTTAGCCCCTGCACCACCAGGAAGGACCAAACCTTTTTTTTAATACAATAATTATTATAATTGATAGCCAGATGTTTCTTGTTGTTTTTAGCATCTTTACTTGGCAAAAAGAAAAGTTGTCAATCCTGTGTTAGTCTCCATAACCATATGTTGGAAACCATATTAAACATTAAAAGCCTGAAATGAGAACCATTACTACAGAAAATATCATGATAGATTCAGTGAATTTCCTTTCCCTTTAACCCTGGGGCTTAAAAGAAAGGTATGCACAACCACTGCCTCATTTTTTTTTTTTTTTTGAAAAGAGTAGATTGTTTTCAAATCTTGTAAATAGTTCTGCTATAAACTTAGGCATGCAGGTTTCCTTTCAAATTAGCGTTTTTGTGCTCTTTGGATAGATACCTAGGAGTGAAATTGCTGGGTCATATGGTAAAACCAAGGTGACTATACCTGAGGGGAGAAATACTGTATTAAAAAAAAATAAACAAGGATGTTTAAAAATGAAATACATTTTTTAAAAAATAAAAAATCGGTAGGTAAAATAGCAAGAGTTCAGTAAATTGGAGAGAATTCCCTAGGAGCTAAGTCATTTCTGGAGAGATCAAATATTATTTCCTAGTTTTTTCATTCAGTCACCAAGGAGTTGGATTAAAAATGTCATTGACTGCTGCAACAGTCAACATATTACAACATATTCCTCAGTGAGTTCATTATTCCTCAATCTAAATCCCTCGTATAGTTCAGTTTTATCTATTAAAACTGAATTCAGGTTTTTTACAGTATTTTTCTAGTTTCCTCTATCTCATTTCCTAACCAACAGCAAAAATATTTAGGATTAACCGTTCACACCACTGTGAATCACTGTTTGTGATTAGCAAGTTCACCCAGGATTCCAGGATCCCTAGAAGTAAAAGAAACTGATTAAAATTGAAAAATATTCTATTGATTTAACACAATCTTGAGGAAACATAGGGTGTCTATGAGTTGAATTCTAAGTGAAGTAGGCATTTGATCTACTGTTGTTTTCCTTTCCTCTTTTCAGTGAAATCAGATGAGTTACAGACAATCAAGAAAGAATTAACCCAAATCAAAACTAAAATTGACTCCTTACTAGGACGCCTGGAGAAGATTGAGAAGCAGCAGAAGGCGGAGGCAGGTAAGTGAAAAGGATCTGTGGCCACAGACATGTTGAAATTAAACCAGTTAGACACTGTCAATCACAGAGACAGCCCAGGACCACGGGACACTGGCTGAGTTTAATAGAGTTCTATACAGATACTCAAATAAAGTCTTCAAGCCAAGAATTGCAATGGTGGAATCTGAGTACTTACTTTATTGGAGAATGTGAAGCAACTTGTCTAAAATGCATGTCTTTAAAAAGAAAAAAAAAATTGATGGTATTAATAAGTGATAGTTGGATCATAATTAAAAGGTTATATATCAATATCAAGAAAAGATTGGCTCATAATGAAAAGTTTATGTATCGATATCAAGAAAAGATTAAGAAAATGAAATCCATTAATGTATTAACACTGACAGACTAAAATAATATTCATATTTCACTAAGTTATGGCACAATGTAAATCAAATATCATGATGACAAAGGGCCACTTCCTGCGTTACTGAAATCTGCAAAACTTCAGTCCTAGCTTCAGGATGCTCAACATTAACTGTACCCCTTATTACCCACAGCCAAGTCATTTGATACATGCTTCATTTTTACCTAATGTTCTGTCTTCTTTGAATTATCAGTCCTGACCCGTGCTCTGTTCTTGTATAATTCTAATGCCCTCTTCATGTATTTACAGATATTTTTTAAATTAAAAATTATGAGAACTGGGATAAACAGATTATCTAGTGCATGGTTTGAAAATTATGTTCTTAGATACTTCAGAGGCTCCTTGTTTATGAAATGAAGGTTCATTGGGTCTTCTAAATAGATGAATTCATGCTTCCACCATACCCAACGTTTGCTCCAAACAGCATAGCTATACCTTTATCTGTTTTGTTTCAGGTTTCAACTTAAGACCTAAGTTGCTAACAGAGTTTCACTTTAAAAAAAAAAAACTGTAATATGATCATTAAATCCATTGATCAGATTCAATCTTCTCATTTTGCAAATTAGAAACCAAGAAGGTATACTGATTTTTTTCATAGCAATATAAGTAGTTAATTATAGACCTAGCAAACACAGATTTTGGGAGTGAATCCAGTGTTCTTTCTAATTTATAGTCCAAATCAGTCCAAGTATCTCAGTGAAGTGATGTTACCTAGGTCACTGCAAATGGATGAGAACCAAATCCTTTGGGATATATTAGTAGGACCACAGAGCTACAACAAAGTGGAATCAGCCTATCTGTTGACTGTATCACTGGGGTGAAGACTAGAGCTTCTGGTGATGAGCCATATAGGGCTCAAGACTGAAAAGAAGCTGGCTGTGAGTTGGTGGCATAGCATATTAAATGAGAAAAACTCTGGTTCAAATGCCACTCAGCTTCAGTTCTCATTTATAATGGTAATAGTAGTGGCTACCTCTCATTATAAGAAGTGAATAGAGTAACACATATATAAGGTATATAACACAGAGAGAGTAAAGTCTCAATAATTGAGCTATCTGGAATTGGTAATAATACAGGCATATATAAGCAAATGAACATTTCCTTTCATGCAGCCCATTTTCTTGAAAATACAACCCAGATGCTTAGCACTAGTTTTTGTTAAGTTACTGTGGATGAGAAATGATAGATAAAATAGAATTATATTTATTAAACATTTGTTATAAATATATTTTCTACTAAGAAAAGATATGCTGCCATACCTCTTAATAGAGAAATTTAGATTTTTGGAAAGTTTTCTATATGCTGTCTATGGCACTAATGCAAAGTTTTGCTGCAATTGAAATAGCCTGTGATGTTGCCTAAATCAATATTTCCCTTTGAGGAATTTCTGTGATATTCGTTATTATGTAAAACAACCCTTAGAGCAAAGGACTTTGATAACCAATTTGCACTTCAGTTTAGAGGATTAGGGAAAACTCATTTAAATATAAATCACCTCAAAGAGAAAAATGTGATCCTTACTCCATCATATTCTACCTTCCAGTTTCCTACAATGAATAATATTTTCTGCATATCTTTCTGGACAATCACCTATAAATTCAAAGCTGCAATTTCTTTCATGAAAGACTATCATCTTATTTTTTGTGCATGTTTAAACTTTCCCAGTCATGAGACACTTATTTTTTTAATGATCAGCTTAGTCCTTTGATATTTATGTCTTTTATACTTTTGAATGTTAGGAAGAAAATGGAATTATTTAATTTGTAATTTCATTCTCTTAGTAATTGTTTCCTGAGCAGTATTCATACTGGTGGAGACAAGATAATCATTTTCTATGTTTTCTTTTTATGAAATCAGGGTTGTCTGTATAGAGCCAATACTACATTATGCAAAGTAGAGAGGTATATATTAAAGTTCTTTAAAAATAGTCAATACCTCCTTGTTAAATGTAAGGAGGCACTCATTTTAATGTTTAATTGATTACAAGTTAATTATTTGTTAGCTAACATGTATTATTCTTTCAATATTATTATAATTTTATATATCTCTCATTCCCATTTTACTCTGGTCATTGATAATGAATGTTTCTAGCATGAAAGTAGTGGCAGGGAGGAGGTGCAGGACCATGGACAAAAGGTGGAGAAGGCCACAGGACAGAGTTCAAATTTCTATAGTATCACTTTATCTTTTGTTTGAAGTTACTTCCTCAGCTACCAGAAGCAATTTTGATGAAATATAATGGCATCATTTTGTATACTTTTCTCATAGATATCTGTGTGTTGTCTTTGCCTTCCATTGAAATAGTAAACTTCCTCAGAACAAGGTCATGCCTTCTCTTTCTTTTCTACTTTTTCCACCACCATGTATGAGGCATTGGACACCACTTACCATGTCATTTAACTTCTCTAGATCACAAGCCCCTCAAATTAAACTAGAGGCTAGAATATGATCTTAAACATATATCCCAGATTTAAATTTTTATTAGTGTAAATCCACCATGCGTATTTTTCCCATTGAATGATTAAAATTGCACTACTTTGGAATAGAGTGAGTATGTAGATATTAAGAACCAAAGAATAACAAGATATCAGTTTAGCCTACAATTGTGCCTCCTTCCTAAGTGATTATTTCAAAAGAGCCACATATAAGTTGCCAAATATGAGTAAAACAATGTGTATGTGATTACACAATGATATTAAATGATAAAAAATGGTGAAAGGCACAAAAAAGAAAATTGAAAGACAGGGTTCCATACAATGGGTACTATTTCATGGGCAATTTCATTTTTTAAAAAGACCAAATTTCAGGAAGGCATAGCATCTCTGTGTAAAAAGACAATTAGATATTAATTCAACTTCATTCTTAATATTGTGCCTAATATATGATCAGTCTTGCTTAGAAAATTCCAATAATAATAGCCAATTGTGACCAAAGCATTAGAAAGGTAACAAACCAGAGTCTCATTGGATAAATTCATGCCATCCATATGTTTGGTGAAAACCATAGAATTTTTTAAATTAAATTAATGTCCCGGGCCTCCCCTGGTGGCGCAGCGGTTGAGCGCTGGGCTGTGAAGCTGCCCACAGCTCCTGCAGCGCCGGGTCGATTCCTGGCCACTAGCGAGGGTCCCACATGGCGCGCAGACCTCTCCTGCCTCGCCCGCTGCTCCCCTCAGCAGTGTGTTTCATCGGTCTGCCTGTTCTGTTCCCCGCTCTGTCTCTGGTGAATTCTCTCACCCTCCCGCACTTCTGACTGTACCCAGTGCTTGTATAAATAAATAAATAAATCTTTAAAATTAATTAATTAATGTCCCCACATTGGAATATTACAAATACAAATCAAAATATATTACATTTTTGAAAAAAATCACTCGGTACTGCTGCTATTTCATACATAACATGTTCTTCTCAGTTTGCTAATGTATTTATCCATCTAGTTCACACGTTTATGTTATTTTCCTTTCCCTGTGTGTATTTATGTATCTGAATTCTATGGTAAGTTCTCTTTGCATGCAGCCTTAATGTAATTTTTTCCACTTGGTTCAGTTATCCTTCTCATGTCCTCTCAAACCAAACTTAACATCTAATCTCTTTCGAATAAAACAAGTGTCAAAAAAAATTTAAAAGAGTAATGTTACCCCACTCTTCCAAATACTTTCAACCAGGAACTGATATAACTAGTGCATGAATGTTCAATTTTGTTGCATTCAAATATTGATCATAGAATACTTGAAGCCTTCTGTTTTCCAGATAAATATCAATGGCTCTTTTAGTTTTTCTCATTATCATCTCTTTTCTGTAGTCATTAATTTGAAGACTAGTTTGTTAATCACAGATTGTGATAGTGAAAATAGGAGACTTGTCTCCAGGTGTGATATTACTGCAGCTGCCTGTAACACGACTACTATTTCTACTCTGAATACCTTACTCTTATCATTTCCACTTTAAATTAAATTGGTGGTGCTTCTGGTTACACATAATAGGTTAAACATATGAATTGAGCTCTGCTTCCTCCTGAAACTTCATTAAAATAATGATGAGGACCTCCCCTGGTGACGCAGGTGGTTGAGCACAGTGCTGTGAAGCTGTCCACAGCTTCTGCAGCGCGGGTTCAATCCCAGCCAGCCGGCAATGATCCCACATGGCAAGGCAGACCTTTCCTGTCTCGCCCGCTGCTCCCCACAGCAGTGTATTTCGTCAGTCTGCCTGTTCTGTTTCCCACTGTCTCTGGTGAACACTGTCACCTTCCTGCACATCTGGCCTGTACCCTGGTTCTTGTGTAAATAAATAAATCTTTTAAAAAACAAATAAAATAATGAGGAGACCTTAAAGTGAAAACCCAATGTACAAAGAGAATGGGAACAATATTATTTCAGAAGGTGGGCAGCCGATAGAAAAGTGCACCTGACTTAGCACATCCTAAAAATCTGAATCCAGCTGTAACCCAGAATTTTCAAAGGCCAGAGTGGAAGGCATCCTCTAGAATAGAGGTTATAAATGGCTGAAACTCTGTTGAGAAAACAGTTTCCAGTATCACTTTTCCCAACTGTTCTTAACCCACTCAAAAGCTGGAGCAGTTTTCTGTAGAAAAGGAATAG